AGAGAGAGAGAGAGAGTGAGTAAACTTAAGGGGCTGAAGCTGGAGGCCTGTTCTTGCTGGCTTAAATGAGACTACAATGTTTTAACCCTGTAGACCCAGGTGATGCTTACCTTGGTGGGAATTTCAACTCCACGGAGCACTGAGGAAACTTAGGTATAAATACTGACATCATATACTTCTCCTCTCCTCCTTCAAAATCCAACGAGAGATGATTTTTAAGGAAACACTAACACAAAATTGGTTATAATCCGCCCATTGAGTTATTTCCTGCCTTTCCGGCATCTGGATGTTCCTAAGTTTGCTTGTGTGTGTGCGTATGCCCCTCCCCTCAGCTCTTCAGTGGCCTCCTATAGATCCTATGTGCTTATGTAACATCTTCAACTCCTTCAAGGGCTGGCCATTATCTCCTCTGCCAGACCTGCGGCTGTGGAGATCTGAATCTCTATCCCAGCTGTAAGCCATCTGACTTCGGGCAACTTTAAAACTTTGAATTCAAAAGTATGACTTTGTATAATGGAACTGAGATAAACCCGATTACATCTGTAAGATGGTATGAATGAATGCTTGCACGGAGTAAGGGAAGCTTTTATTTGTTTTTTAAATGTTGAGTACGTGCCAGCTCTAACTTTCAAACACGAAACACAATGTTGAGAGTTTTATCATTTTGACTTTAAATATAAATCCTGTAATTTTCTTTGAAAGTTGCAGATATGCCCATAATGACCAGTAATCACTGAATCACCTCTTAGACGTAATTGAGTCACTTAAATGTCTAAACATCAACCATGATAGATAGATAGATAGATAGATAGATAGATAGATAGATGATAGATAGATAGATAGATGATAGATAGATAGATGATAGATAGATAGATAGATAGATGATAGATAGATAAATAGATGATAGATAGATGATAGATAGATGATAGATAGATAGATAGATGATAGATAGATGATAGATAGATGATAGATAGATAGATAGATAGATAGATAGATAGATAGCTTGAAATATAATGATGGGTCAAATCTAAATTTTAAGTCACTGAGGGTTTTGGTTTTTTTTAAAACAATTTAGTATTTGTGTACAGGTGTCTAGATGCCCTGTGTCACCTGTATTAATTGGTGAAATGTCATTTTTATTGTATACTTAAGCCAGGAACATGTATCATCACCACATATTTCTAGTAATAGCAACAAGTGTAATTCTTCTCAGGAACACAGTAAGAAATGCTATGGAAAATTACAGAATATAATACAGTTGTGCAGCTAGACTGAAAATTTGTGTATTTTTCAAATTCACGAGTCCATGTATTCTATTGGGTATGTGTGTAATTTTTCTAAATCGTATCCTGAGGACACAGTTACATTATAAATAACCTCATAAACAGCTCGAAATGATGGCAAGGAAAAACATCTACTTTTCAAATCCCAGGAAATAATGCGTAAGTTTTCATCACAGCCAGGAGAAATTTGTCGATTCTGATTTAAAAAAAAAAAATAAGCATAAACTCTGAAGTCTTCATCTACAGGGAAAATTATTCTTTTACTCTTTATATGTAAGCTGGGACTTAGGGATGAAATCTTACATTTCCAATGGTTGAAATTAAACATGTTTTTATGACCCCAACACATGTAAATATGAAGGCAGGCAGCGGTCGGTACTGATGATGCAATGGTACTTCAACGAGGAGCGTCCTACTCTCTCAGTGCATCCTCTGTCACTTCACCTGTAACCCTTGTCACCAACCTAACCTTCCTGTTTACATTTGGATCAAAGGATCAGGAACTACATGCAATGCACATGACCACAGCACTTGGCTTTCAGCGTGTCACTTACAGTAGGATCCCTCTTAGCAGAAGATAATGTGTTTCTGGAACAATTTGCTGCTTTGAAATCGTTCTTCCCAGACAACTATCCTACAGTCCTTCTCCTTAAGGACTTCCGGTACTTACCACCATTGTAGAAACATAGGATTGCACAGAGAAGACTGCATCTTAGACAAGTGCGAAATAGGAAATCGAGAGATAAGCATAACACACACACACACCATACACACACACACACATACACACACACACACATACACACACACATACACACACACATACACACACACACATACACACACACACACCATACACACACACATACACACACACCATACACACACACCATACACACACACGCACACATACACACACACACATACACACACACACACCATACACACACACACATACACACACACCATACACACACACACACACATACACACACACACCATACACACACACACACATACACACACACACCATACACACACACACACACACATACACACACACCATACACACACACACACATACACACACACACCATACACACACACACACACACACACCATACACACACACACACACACACACACACACACTGTAAAGGTCAATTGCTTTCTAATGCAGACTGTCAAATGTCTCAAAGAATGCTACATGAAGACGAAACAGTGTTAACCTCCATGTTTGATGCCTGGGTTCAAATGTGAAGCGATGTTCTTAAGCTGGATACTGTATCATAAGATAGTATTATAAAAGCGAAATGTTCTTTAAATTCACCAGTTGTTTCTTGGAGCAGCTTTCCTTTGTTATTTAATAAGATTCAGTGTGTGTTTTAGAGAGGTTTTCTTTTTTTAGATGTGTCTGTTTATATCGTGGATTAACTGTCTTGCAAGCACCCAGTTAATGATCAGTCTAGGTAGGATGATCACCTAGCCTCCCAGAGGTCCTCTCCTTCCTTCTGTGCTCAATGTTTCCCAATTTGCATGCCATTAATTCTTAGACTAAATAGATAAATAAATAAATAAATAAATAAATAAATAAATAAATAAAAGAAGACTGTTCCTTTACCCAGTTCAATAAATCAAAGATTGAAGCAATGCAGATAAGAAACTTACTCTGTGTGTGAAGCTGGTTCTTTTCACAGTCAGGAATTTAAGGGAAAACAGGCTGGAGCCTTGGCCAGACAATACCACATGCTTGCTTCCTAGGTGCCATAAGGAGTTAGTGTGATGACCACTTGTGCTTGGTGCCCCTGCCCGCACTATTGCTAAGGTCTTGTTCGCTGCTCTCCTGAGAAGCTAACTTGTAGACCACAGTTACAGCTTCTCGTTCATTGTCTCAGGTGTAACCGGGAATATGTAGGAAGCATGGTGCATCCGACTGTGGTGCTCCTGAAGGATGTGTTTGCGTTATGACTGACAGCCTCTCTCTGTCTTTTCTTCTGTAGCAGTTCTATGCTGCCCAGCTAGCCGCAATGCAGGTTTCTCCAGGAGGGAAGCTCCTAGGCCTACCCCAAGGCAACCTTGGTGCTGCCGTGTCTCCTACCAGCATTCACACAGACAAGAGCACAAACAGCCCACCACCCAAAAGCAAGGTACCCTCTTCAATAAGCTGATCTGTCTTTGCACTTGAGCTTCGTCGGTTCACAGTATTTACTGAAGGTCTTGTAGATTCCAGCCACTGGGCTAACTAAACTCAGGGGGTATATGGGGGTAAGACTTTTAGAAGGAGCCATAGCTGTATGTGTGAATTTACATTTCTAATAATTGACGTATTTATTCAACAAACATATTGATAGTTGTCGTGGAAATCAGAAATGGGCATCTCTGAACCAGGGAGTTTATAGCTTTAAAAATAGATGTCTATAAAAACGATCAAATTAGCCATCCTTTATAATCCAGAGAATAATCAGTAATAGGTGTCATGAAGCCGTGTTACAGATAAAGTACATTAGATGTTATTAGGAAGGAGAGATCGGCTCCAGCAAGAAAGGCAAGCGTTTGCCAAGGGATAAACAACTGAAATAGAAACCCAGGCTCGAGTAGAATGGGGACATATGGAGTGTTTCTTTAAAGCTATCGATAACTGTGGTAATGCAGCATGACAGTGGCACAGTGGTAATTTTAGATATGTCACACATCCACTGAGATTATCATGTAAAATCATGAAGATAATAATAGTATTGGGGACTATTTAAACACAGTGCTGGCTGTAGAGCTGGGGAACCATTTCCTGAGAACATGGGAAAAGGCTGGGGGAGTTAAAGATGATTCCTCCCGACAGGGGAGAGCAGAGAGTCTTGGGTGACAGCCTTCGTGTGTGCGGACTTTACATGCGTGCCGTTGTGTGAACACAGGAAGCTTTCAGCAAAGCAAGCAAGGCTAGCCAGAGAGGGATGCTTCCTGTGCTTATTCAGAAAAAAACAAATGGAAATATTTAACTCTACTAGAAAGCACTAGCCAGAAAACTGACACTGCTAATAATTTTTACACCAAACATCTTTTATTAATATTAATGTATTATTATTATTATTATTACTATTTTCTAGAAATTTGCTTTCATCTTCCATTCCATGGATGAGGTGTGGAAATGTCTTAGGGGAGTCGGGGAGGAGTAACCTTGACGTATGCAAAGAAGTACATGAGTAAGATAGAAAATATCTAAAGGAGGTGGGGCTTCAGAACATCAGCTCAATTACTGTAAAACTCCAGATAGGGGGCTGTGGAAAAGGAAAAGGATCATTGGGTCAGTTGGGACCAGATTCCCAACTCCTTCCTTCCGAGGCTTCCCAGTGTATTCCCAGAATACATTTGTATGTAAGTGTAGCCTGACAGAGGAGCTGGGACTGTGACTAGGGAAAACACTTCCACAGTGGGGAATGGCAGGGCACAGACATGTGCTACTTGCAAATTGTTTCTTCTGCTTGGTGGCCCTCACATGTCTCTGCTTCTCTGCTTCTTGTCTAAGGCCAGACCTGCTTCTATTTATAATTTCAGACACATGTAAAGCCAGAGCTCAGAAGCAGTTATAACAAGCTACCAAATCAAGTTGAATTCTAAAGTGCTATTGTGACGGCTCCTGGTGCTAGCAGTTTTAAAGTGTTATATTTACAGATACATTTTAAGCAAAATAAAGGCAAGTAGCCGTGTAGAGCCCTTGTTTTACACAGATGCCTCTGCAAGTGGCGAGTCTGTTTCTCTCCCTTGATGTGTTAATTTCCCTTCACATCATGAGCCATAACAGTGTTTTGCATTAAGGTATTCCCTTTCAGGACCATAGACTGTTAAGTTTTACATGATTAGCGGATTTTTCCTCCCTACTTCCAGGTGAAATCTTTAACATTAATATATTCTCAACCATTTTGTTTACACAAATAATGAAAAAAAGGTTTGATTCCAGACAGCCACTTCCACCTTTGCTTTTGCTTAGTCTCCGATCATTCGTCCATCTGTCCATCCATTAGCAGGCTGCCTGGGCAGTTGCTACAATGGTCCTTTCCTAGGTAACAATAACAAATGCCAAAGCCAGTGAAGGTCCTTTTTGTTGTGATTGGGAAAAGGCTTAGTGGGCCAAGTGGGGTTTTATATACTCATAAAACCCCATGAATTCAGCACACACACACAAAAAAATCAACCAGATAATTGTTTTAGCAGTGTTAAAATTCTTCCACATCTTACAGTTCATTTTATTTCATGCCTCTGTTTTATTTCAGAAAAGGGAAAATGTAGATTGTGTTTCAATTACCATGATTTACTTAATGTAGACATATATTTTATGGTTTATCTTCAAACTGTAATTATTTTGTAGAAGTCAGACTTCAAGAATTCTCTATCACATAAAGCTGAAGAAACCAATGGGTACCCTTCTTCCCACCCACAGTTACAGCAACATGTATCAAGATTTAACCAAGAATAATATTCTTCTCTCTCAATATCAATGCAATCTCATAAAGATGTGTTCCTTGCCCGGTGTCCTCTAGAATGCTTTCTGTCACTACTTCCGTTGTTAGAAAGAATTCCAAAATATGCCTGTGCTGGTTTAGTCGATGAGAAAAAATACAGTGAGTTAAAAATAAAAGCTAAGTTGCATCATTTGAATGTGGCTCCCCAAATGACAACTAGTAACAAATAAATAGAACCCATTTGCTCTCTTGTAGCTTAGAAATGATGTCTGCACATAGCATGATGGGTATTGTGACTTCACAGAGCTAATTTATTCATGGACATTCACTGATTAGCATATTTATGTTTTTACACAATCAGCATTAGTATCTTGGGGAATTCTCTCTCTCTCTGTCTCTCTGTCTCTCTGTCTCTCTGTCTCTCTGTCTCTCTCTCTCTCTCTCTCTCTCTCTCTGTCTCTCTCTGTCTTTCTCTCTCTGTCTCTGTCTCTCTCCCCCCCTCTCTTTCCTCTCTCTCTCTCTCTCTCTCTCTCTCTGTGTGTGTGTGTATGTGTGTGTGTGTGTGTGTGTGTGTATCTGTGTGCGTGTGTGTAGGTATTGGTGTTGCAACTTCCTATGCTTGTCTTTGCCTCACACGATAACACAAGGCCTTTGTGTGCATACCCACTTGGTATAAATGGAACTGGTAGCTTGTGTTACAGGGATGTTTACTCTTTAGAGCAGTGGAGTCACACATCAAATTCATGGGACGGTAGATACACAATGCTCTTACTGACAGCTGACAAAAGTGAAGTGTGTGGTCTGAGTTGTATCACCTACCCTCTTCCTGGGTGCACCATTGCCTCTGACTCCCAACTCCAGAGGACATAGCAAAACTTATTTGCAATTTGCAAACAGCAAAAAAAAAAAAAAAAATGGAAGGGGGGATCAAAGGGAGGGGCTCCAAAAGACTGTAAAATTGTGCAGCGTGAGTCCTCTGATGCATGCTGTTTTCAATCTGCTGTGTGCCAGTTGGAGGCTCAGGGAGTGTGTGTGCGCGAGAGAAAGGATAATACTGAGAAATGACAGAGTGGTTGTGACCTCCAAGCTCAGCCTGGAAATCCAAGACATTGATTTCACTTAGCATTCCTGCTGAGAGATCTGGCGGAGTTCAGTTGTAATAAAAGAACAAGATTCTGTTCTAATGGTAATGGCGTATGACAGACGTATCACTTTGTCTGTCCCCAGCACCAGAGAGAGCAGGATTGGAGAAAGGTCACCTGACCTGCCTGGGGTGTTGTACAAGTGCTATACTGAGCTTTGAACTGCCGCCTAGGAACGTAATTATTTATAATATTAAATGATAAAGAAAGCTTTAGAGGACTCACAGTGCATGTCTGAAAACTGCATGCGGGAAATGCATTTTGTAACAGAGAAAATTCTAGACAATGGCTGGTCTATTCAAAGTCTACATTTGAGAGCACTGGCTTTCCTCCTTCATGTTTCTGTCCCTGCTATGGGGTGTTGTCATCAAAGCCTGAAGTAGTGTCACTGCCCAATGTTTTAATGCCTTGGCTTAATTAGTAACATGCTGTGTGTGGGGGTGTGTATGTGTGTATGTGTTTGTGTGTGTATGTGTGTGTGTGTAATTTGTAGATATATCTATGTGTAGATGTATGTAGATATATTTTCAGTGTCTAATCTGCCAAAGGCAGTATAGTGGAGGTTTAAGACCATGGGTAAATTTCAACATGTCCACGGCACATCAGGTCTTTTTAAAGACACCAACACTTACCTTGCATGTAGGTTTCCCTGCAGACCCCACTCTACAGCTGTCTTACATGAAGCAATGAAGGCAAATACATTTAGCTCCTCGTGGACAAGTCTCTCAGCTTCATTGCAAAGCTATAGCCCATTTTAACAGGTAGATGCTGACAAACAACAAAGGATGAAATTCCAAAAATCTCCAACTTTTGTACAAGGGAGTCTGCCTTCGCTTACGAAGGAGCGTTTAGCGTACTGTTGCGTGATAGTGGATTTTGAATCTTGCTTCAAATACGCTCGCCTGCCTTAACGAATGTTTAAATTTGTTTACCGTCTAGATTGTGCCACCGAGCAGACTGATGGAGGATGTGTTCAGCATCCCACTCGTCAGTACCACACACTGTTTGTTTAAATCACTTGCTGTGTATTCTCCAGGCTTTTGAGAGCTCAGTCAGCTTCTCCACCTTCTCTGCGTTAGTTGGGATAAATGACCACACTTCATATTTTAAGTGATTTTTTTTTCCATTACAAGAGCAGTCACCTCTTGGGGAAATTTCAGGGTCAACTTGTACACGTTGTTACTGAATGTCTCTCAGTGTTTGGTGGAGACGTATGTACCTCCTACTACCACCAGCACATTAGTTAAGCTGATGACAGCAGAGAATTCCTGGGTGCTTTTCTTTTAACCTCGCTGTGACCCTTGTCACCATGACCCCAGCCACCACCACTGTCAAGACTGTGTCAATGGCAGGAACACATAGATTATCCACATCAATTTTTTTTTGTTGTTGTTGTTCTCTTCAAATCCTTCTGTCCGGAATGTCCCCTTGTGCTCAGGAATAGCACCTGGGAGTTAGGACAAGGGAAAGAAATGCTTGTCTGACAGAGCCAGAGCCAGCCCCAGGCAGCTGAGCAGATATGATCAGTTCCTTTCCACTGCGATGTCCTTG